TCCTTCCCAGACCCTCCACGGCCCTGGCCCGGCCCCTTCTAGCCAGTCCGGGCGGCAGGGCCCCGGTGAGACCCTGGGTGGGGTGCAGGCGCGGAGAGGCAGCAGGTGTGGGCGTGCTGACACGGCCGGGGTGTGCCTGGAGCCGGTGGAGGTGCGTGAGCGAGCTCCTGTCACTCGTGTGTGGCTGTGTGTCCTCCTACGGCTGGTTGCCAAGTGCCCTGGACCTGGTGACAGGGTAGTGTGATTGCGTGTGGCCGTGCAACTGTACGATCTCGTCAAACGTTTGAGATTGCGTGAAGCACGGGCTGTTCTGGTGTTTGACCGCCTGTCTGTGTTGTGTGTCACCCGTGTGCTCTGAGTATGTGATTCTGTGTGGAGCGGCGTGTGATGCCAGAGTGAGCGCTCACTCCGTGTTGTCATGTCTCTCAGACTTCACGACTGTGCGCCTCAGGGTCGTGCATTTGTTGAAGCACTGCATTGTGTGTGCTGGTGAGTCGGGGCGGGGAGCGCCGCACTTGGTGCTGGTCGTGTGCCCTAGCTGTGAGGCCTGCAGTGGGCTCTGAGTGTCCCTAGTGTTTTGCATCCTGGCCGCCCTCTCTGGCTTTCTGGCACAGATGAGGGTCTCAGTGTACCCTACTGCTTCCCCAAGTTTTCTACACAGTGGGGGTGCAGCCAGCAGGGACTGTAGTGTTCAGCTGCCCAGACGCTCCCGGGAACACCTTGTGTTTCCAGCACCCAGCCCCTGAAGGGAAGCTCTAGTCACTGCGGGATCAGCCCCTTTCCCCCCAAAAGTTACACCGATTGGTGCCGCTGAAGTCCTTCAATCCCCAGCAGCCCTCTCAGAGTTTCACCAAACCCCAGAGGAAACATCCCCCAGCCTGTGGTCCTCCTCGTGTGCTCCACCACTCTGCTGCCAGGCAGGGACATAGGAGAGAGCAGTGCAGCCACACACTTCCCCCGGGTCTGTGTAGCTGACAGCGTCACCTTGTGTGCAGTCCGTGTACATGTGTTTGTCTTTGTACGGCCCTGGTGGTGAGAGGCTGCCCCTCCTGAGGGTGGCAGAGCTGAGGAGACATAGGGAGGGCTGAGATCTTCCTGGGACTTGGGAAGGGGCTAGGGTGAGGATCAGTGACTTCCCCAAACCGACCCCAGAGAGGTCGTACGCCGGCTGCCCCAGCTGTGTGTGGAACGCTGCTGGGTGGCGTCAGATCTGGATGACTCCAGAGGCCCACGATCCAGCCTTAGGAACTCTGCTCCCACCCTAGCCCTGGATACTCCGGAGGAGAGGGCCCAGGCCTCACTGACACCCGCCTGACCCTCCCCTTCAGTGAGATCAACCCCTCCTGACCAGGCTGTTTGGATCAGAGATTGGGTGGGGAGGAAAGCACTTGCCTTCACAGGTGGACAGCTTTGTGTCTGTCGGGGAAGAAGTGTACCAACTCTGTGGGTTTGGTCTCTTGGCCTCACTTCTCTCATCTGTAAAATGGCAGTACTGCTTTCCTGTCTGCTAGCCTCTGGAGGGAAATACAAAGGCCAAATGTCAACACGCAGCCAGAGCTGTGGTCCCCGACATCAGCATCCTGTCTATAGCAGCTGCCACATGATTTAAGAAATAGAAATAGGATAGGAGGGTGTGGTGGCACATGCTTGTGATTCCAGCACTCGGGATGCTGAGGCAGGAGGATCGCTGTGAGTTCGAGACCAGCCTGGGCTGCCTAGTGAGTTCCAGGTCAGTCTCAATTACATAGTGAGACCCTGACTCAAAAAAAACAAATAGAAATAAGAGCCAGGCTTTGCCACACATGTTCGTAATCACAGCGCTTGGGAGGCTGAAGCAGGAGGATCGCGAGCTATGGGCCAGCCTGAGTGAACTATATATGAGATCCTGGTTTTTTTTTTGTTGTTGTTGTTGTTGTTTTTAACGTAGGACTAACAGGGTCTGTCCGCTCCAAGGAGGGCTTATAATGGGACACCTCTGTTAAAGAAGCCTGGCTGGGCTCCAGTTTGTGGGGAGTCGTTATCCGTGGTGCTGAAGTGCGGCAAGATTCCCCTCCCTGCGCTGAGCGAGCGGGATTCCTGGGGGCGGACAAGTTGGGTATCCAGCTCCTGGCTCGCCGGCCCAGCGGGCTGCAGACGAGGCTTTGAGGTACACAACAACAGGGGATCTCGGGTGCCTCCGACTTCCGTCCTTCCCCACTTCCGCCCAAAGTTCAAAGAACTGAAAAGAATCTTTTCAGGAGGACAAAATCCGAACCCTGTCCCTCCGCCCCACCTGGCCCTTCGGGTAGCTTGGCACAGTTGGGATAAAGCTGCGATTTCGAGCACAGCAAATAAAGGACGGGAGGAGGTGCGGAGGGGACTCGATAAGCCTGGCCTGAGCTGCGGTCAGACGCTTGAGTTCTGAGTGGAGTCCCGCCACAACCACCGTTCCTGGGAGTGGGGCGCCCCCGTGTGGCAGAGAGGAGTCATGAGTGAGGAGCTAATTGGTGTGGGGACTCATTTAGTCAGGTGAGCTAGATCCTGCAGGAGTTCAGAGGGGACTTTAGTTTTGTTTTGTTGAAACAGGGTCTCGCTCTGTAGTCCAGGCTGGCCTTGAACTCCCTATAGCGCCCAGACTGGCCTCAAACTGAGGGCGAGCCTCCTGCCTCAGCCTCCGGAATGCTAGGATCACAGGCGTGAGCTACCACGCCCGGCATCTCTTCTCTTAATGTTAGATATCTTTCAATTCTCAAGAATCCCAGTGGAGGAGTAGGCCAACCTCTTCCCTCGGCCTTCCCAGGAGCTGGAAGGTGCAATTAGCTGATGGGGTGGGTCGGGCTTCCCCTTGGTGCATCTGGCGCCAGGCAGCCGTGCACCTCTGCCCCTCCGGCACCCTGGCTTCTTTCTGCTCTCTCCTGGAATTGGGGGGCGTTGCCGTGACAACTGTGTCCTCCAGGCTCCGGAGGGCTGGGGAGCAGGTGCTGGGCGTGGAAGACAGGGTTTGCTGTCCGAACTCCCCCGGCCCCCACCTCTGCCAGGAGCTGCGCACGCTGCGCGGGCGGGCGGGGTGTCTGG